TATAAAAATGTATAGAGCAACAAAAAATCTTCTTAAATCAATGCATGCATCAAAAAAAAAATTATTAAAATTATCATAAAAAACAAATTCAAAAACCAGCTAAAGCAAAAGATGTCTTAGCAATTACATAAGAAATTAGATAACAAATAATTTTAAACGAAAAATCGTTCATGCTAGTATAATAAAAAAAATCAAGCTCGAATCTCATTTTCCATAAAAAAAAGTTCCAATCACATGTTAGACTAGCGCATTTTTGACAATTACTTGTTGCAATTACAGACATATGTACATAAAAATTAAAAGAAAACGACAGATATTTCCTTAAGGTTGTCACTCCAAAAAGCAATGAAATATTTATTTAATAAATTGAATGCCCAGCACTTGTAAATTTTATGCACGCAAACTAAAAATATGCATACATATAGAAACTATATAATATACATAAGCATGCAATATAGTAATAGCAATAAACGTAGCTAAAATATGAAAAATTTAAAAATTTGAAATTTTAAAAATAAAATTTTTTTAAGTTTAGAAAAAAAAACATGCGATTTTCGGTAACAAAATGTATACTAGCAAAAACAATACTAAATTTAGCAATTTAACAATTTGAATATGTTTAGATTTAAACGAAATAAACTAATATTTAACATTTAAAATAAATTTTGCTATACAAAAAATAAAGTTTCCTATTGCTTTAATGTTAATTATTAAAACACATAAATTTGTAATAAAGAGTTATAAACAAAAGTGAAATAGTAAATAAACAATGGAATTTATTTGCATATCTAGTCGCTATTAAATATATCCCGCAAAAAAAAAAAAAATAAATTTAAAAACTTACGAAGAAACGAAATACTAAAAATGAATAAATTAATTAATATAAAAAAGTTAGCTTACTAAATCCACATTTCATTCCAGAAATTATGCAAAAAATTTAGTTCAAACATTACAAAAAATTAAAAAAATCAAAATTCCAGCAAAAAAAAATTAAAAATTAAAAATTTCTAAACACTTGAAACTTTATTGTAAATAAAATATGTATGTATTTGTAAAAAGTCTATGTAATTATTAAGTAATAAGCAAGTCCAGGTACCAAATGAATGGCATATAAAGAAAGCAAACTAACCACATACATACAAACATAAGTATGTATAGCAACAATCCATTGCGATTCTCTAGCAGTAACCAGTGACCAAAATTAGTGTAAAATAAATTTAAAAACAGCCTGCATAAATAATATATCTTTTATCTTTTCTGAACTAAAAAAAAACCGACTTGATAAAAAAGAAAAATTTTTGACTGCAGATTCTTAACATTTCCGAAGCTAAAATTTTTTAACCTACAAAATGTTTTGGAAATTTTTGCAAAATTTTATCAAATGGCATGCCTATTTCAAATTATGCGTACGGCGCTTTTGTTTAGTTATATTAAATTATGTAAATTCTTAATTTAAAGAAATAAAATCATATAAATAATCGTAAAATTTAATACTACAAAAATCCTAAAAATTAAAATAAAGCATATGAAAATCGTGAAAATATAATTATGCTGATATTTCATTTAAATTGCGAATGTTTAGTGAAAGGTAAGTTGTACTTTGTATGTACATACATTAAGATGGTCCAAAAAGGCACATGGAAATCTACTTTCTAGAATGCTCTAGTTTTCATCCTCGGAACTGAAGAATATGAAGAAAATAGATTAATTTTAGTAGTTGCGGAAGAAGAAATTTTTTGCAGGTAGACTTGGAATAAAATCGTCAAAAATATGTAAATATTGACAAAAAAAATATTTCTCTTCAGAAATCTTCCACAATAGAATTATTGTATTATGTATTATGCAAATTAAACTCTAAAATTTTACTAAAGTTGGACCATCCTAATGTACTGACATAGCCACAAAAGCATCTACGTAAGTCAAGAGCATTGCTGGATAATAATGATGGGATCAAATAATTGATTCTTGGCATATAAAAATCTTTCAAACAGGTATCTACGCATCCGCCGTGGAAGGGTGTCAGTGCTGCCATGCATAGCTGGATATCAAAGAAGCTAAGTTGTGGCACTCTGAAAGAAAGTACTTCGTCCTTCATGGGAAATATTTTCGTAGAAAAGGTCGTTTTGACCCTTACTTCAATAAATCCCGCAAAAAGCAAATTTGGAAGGTCGTAAGAGTACTATAGAAAATTATTCTTCGGAAATTTTTACTAGGGTTCTTCTCAGGCAAAAACTTCTTACCACCAACGTAAAAGTCTCTAACCATTAGATCACAACGGCCGAAAATATGCATACATGCATATCTAAATAGCAATGAATCATTCAGATTAATCAATTAGGAACATTAGTGGCTATTAACGAGTGCTCGCGTTCATTCAACCTCAAGTTTTCTAATTTTAAATTTGCATAAAAAATATGAGTATATCTATTGACATATGCAAACATACATATATGTGTGTAGGTATGTAAGTACGTACACTTTGCATATCGGGGGCTTATAGATAGATACTTATTCAATACCCTCTATCTGCAATTTTCATAAAAACTTATTTTTTATTATTTGAACGCTACTTTAACTTAATTGTCAATTTTGATATTATTTCTTACTCTAACTCCAATATATATCGAGCCCTAACCGCCACAAAGACGCCAGCGAAATTGTTTTCAAAATTTTATTTTTGATGCAGAAGTGCATCTAGTAGATGCTCTAGGAATATTTCCTAAGAAGCTATACATAAGTACTATATTTATATTGCAGATAGGGGGTATAGTATATATACGTACATACATACATGCAATAGATATAAATAAAATATATTTATTGTACAAATATGGTTCAGATTAGCGATTACAATACTGTGTAACAGTGAAAATGAAGTTTTGGCTGACCCAGTACTAGACGTACATATATATCTGCACATACATACATATCTGAGTGAATAAACCAAAATAAGTTAACAGTAAAAAATATGTTTAAAAAAGATTTTTAAATATGAACTAACATTTTTAAATATTAACATACATATCTGAGCGAATAAATAAAAATAAGTTAATAGTAAAAAATATGTTGAAAAAATATTTCTAAATATGAACAAATCGGGCCATATACATACAATACAATATGTTTCCGTACAGTTCCTTTTTTTAATATTTGCAATATTTTTCATAATAAATTTTTTTCGTTAATTTTTAATAGAAATATAGTTCACTCTATATCAAATGGCATATAAATTAATGATTCAAAGTTTTTACAAAATTTAGGAAAATTCGACAAATTTTCAACGTTTTAACAAATCTTTTTGAATATACATTAGCTTACTCAATTTCAGTATAATAAAGTGCAAGTTTTAAGTGGCTATACCGTACCGTTGATTTTTGAGATTTTTTATTTTTTTTTGTTAAAAGTTGAAAATTTTGGTGAAAATTTGTTCTGAATGTTCAAACTAAAGATTCCTTAACACTATTTCGTTTGACACCCATATTATAATATTTCAGATAACTTGTGTATAACATAACTAAATTCGACTTTTAAAACAGGTGGCAACCCTCTTGAAAAATTTTTTCACTACTATATACTTTCTTAAACCACTTTCGAATGGCACCCATATGGTGATACATATTTCAGTTACCTAATTCCCTTAATTCAAATTGAATTTGATTTATTAAAAAGGTGGCAACCATCCTAAATACATGCAGTTAAGAAATAAATCATTTCGGTTGTTACTCGAATAATAATAGTTTTAAATAATTTGAATTTAGTTTTTTAACAGGTGGCAACTCTTTTAAAAAAAAATTAAAGTGATCGGTACAGATCTGATGGCCTGGACAAAAAATTCTTAGCTTGTGCAACGTTTTTTTTTGTAAATCAGTCCCCATCATCAGCTATCGCAAAAACTAATACATGTTAAACTGCTTCTGATGTCCATTTCAAACAAAAAATAATCGTTCAATTTGTTTCCTTAACAGAGGGAAAATATGTAATAATTAATACAAGTATAACCCTGCTGCTGAATTTTTCAAAGGTGTTATAGAGATGGAAAACTCGATTCCGATTCCACTCCAGAATCGAAAATTTTCCCTAAATAATCGATTTTAGAGAATCGATTCTAAATTTTCCCAATCGATCAAGAACCGATTCTGAGAACTCGATTCTCTAATTTTTCATACATCTTTTGATAAGCGCCTGTTGTTAGAATTGTGAAATTTCTGACATGACTAATACAAATAAGTATTAAGTAAGACTAATTGGCGCATATTCATAGAGATGCTAGAAATCAATTTATGAAAAGAAGAAAATTTTAAGAGGGGTATTAAAATTTGGATGGATCTTTATTACATACCATATCAAACCGTACCGCAAATCCCTATCGTTTTCCGAAAACCCTTTCGCAGGCGAAATAAGCCGCAAGACCTTTCTCAGCTCTCTCTCCCAAATATTTTCCAATTTAGTTTCGAGCCCAGAATTACACCTAGGTATTTCGCCTCAAAGTAGAGATTGGGGTAACTTTCAGATATTTTTATAAAATTTCTCAAATATTTACCATACATACATATTTAGAGACACCGTGTAAATAACAAGACAATGACAAATCATAATCATCTATATCAAACGTATGTATGTATGTAGGTATGCGTATTAACAAAAAATTATCAAAACGTCAGCAATATGCTAATATTAAGATTTTTGTCGATCGTCTCATTTACTAAGACGCTCCCCCCAATCGCTGATTCAATTCACACTAATTTGTATGGAAGGCGACACTACTAATTACAAGGATAAACACTGAGTATCGACATAATCAATTGTCACACAGAGCACAGAACCAACAAAGAATCGCTTGCGATCAAATTGAGACCTGTACGTATTTTCTATGTCAGCAGCTGGTAGTTAATCCAAGCATCAGCACAGTCTCGCGGATAAGCTCTCGGAAGTTACTCGCACTAGTCGGTTAATTCATTGCAATCGAGTTTGAATAGGTACGCAGTTAGATAGTCGTTAGAATGACCTCGACCGCAGCGAAAACAATGAGTACACAGGAAAGTAGAGCAGCAAAAGTTAACGCGAACAAACCAGTGACCTTTTCCATCGGCGACACAACTAACCCAGCTACCGCGGCTGATAGTAAATACGCCACAAAAGCAAAAGCGGAACGCGCTGGCACAGTAAGCTTTGATTTGCCCACCAGCAAGTCGGCTGCCGCACCCACATCCGCATACGCGCCAACTGACATCGTCCAGCAGGTATGCGGCAACTTTGGTCGCTGGCAGCTCCGCACCATACTACTAATCTTCCTCTGCAAAATACCTTCTGCTTGGTTTATGGCTTGTATTATTTACACCGCGCCCACGCCTCGAAAGGGCGACTACTTTTGTCGTCCGCCAGCTCAGATGAATGTCAGCGGTGCTGGTCCACATGGCAGAGCTACAGCGCCGGCCTGGGTGCGCATGCCTTCGCCGGTGTCTGATGAACGTGGCACCGATCGCCGCTTCTATATGGATGCCTGTAATATTTATGAGGAGCGCTTACAGCTCGATTTCGCTGCCAATCATGCCAACTATTCAAATCCCTTCGAAGAGCCAAATGTGGTACAATTGCCGAACGGTTCGCTGAGCCTGACGGTGAATGTGTTGCCTTGCGATCACTTCGAGCACAATTCCGATTATATTTCGCTGGTGTCTCAGTTCGATTTGGTTTGTTCACGCCAGTTGCTGATCTCCATGACGCAGTCCTTTCACGGCTTGGGCGCATTTTTGGGCGCTCTACTTGTACAACACGCGCTCAAACAGTTAAGTTCTATGAATGGAATTAAGTAAATTTATTTGCAAAACTAATGTACGGAAATTTTCGCGTCCTCGTAGGTGTTAATTGAATGAAGTTTAGTGAACGTAACGATTGTATATAGGGATAATTGGAAATACTCTGCAGCAAAACGGAAATTTTGCGAATCTATTTTCAGATAATCACAAATAGGCAAAAATGCGTACTAACATTTCTCTACATTTTGCCCTATTTCACTGACACTTGTTGGGCGTAATAATTAGATTATTCATTGTACTACAACTTGGTATCTAAATATAGTAAATTTTTGCAATCGCGGAAATAGAGGAAACAGAGCACAGTTGGTATGAGGTGTTATGTAAGTGTGACTCTGCTGTGAGGCATTAAATGCGTTACGAATAGTGAAGGAAAGGCTGTCAGTTTAGGTTAGTCGGCCACCACTGTGAAAATGTACTTATGCTTTTGACCCTTTGTGTTTGTAAAAATCCTCAGACTCGTTTCCGATAGGTAGCAAATTAAAACAAGGGTAATGCTAGCATAATGGAAGTCCAAATGGAGATGGGCCTGTCTACAGCGATTAGTAAATAGGCGATGTCAGACGGAATTCCAATGTAGGACCACCTATTGCAGAATGTGTAAACAAATAAATAAATTTGCAATGTTGAACATAAATTAAATAAATGGAAATGTGAAAAAGTAAAAATAAATAAAATATAATAACAAAATGTTTATTGTTTTTATTGATATTTTATGTCCAAAATTAGTTAGTTACAAGTTAGTTGACATGTAATGCAAAAGTATCCAGGGCTGATTTGTTTTTTTCGGGTATCGCCCCAAAAAAGCAGATAGGTTTTTCGAACAAAGTATACAGTTAATAGTTAGCACTAGTGTTTGCGTAAACAGACTAAAGTTGGGTATACGCTAACGTCACTCCCTGCAGGGAAGGGACACTCTGCTAAATGACCAAATGAGTCCCTTATCTGGAACAATCATCGAAACCTATCCTAACCAGGCCGATAAATGGTGGTAATGCCAAATAATAAGTGGAAGAATTATTACCACAGGGGGTCCACCAGTTGGGTCTGTTGCCGTAAGCCTTAGATGCTCAAAAAGGTTCCTCAGGCAGGTTTTGTTGGCGTATTTTAAAAAATCTATAAAAAAAATCTGGCTTGGGAGCACGTATTGCTTGGCGTAGTCAATACAATAGGTGCAATCCCGTATTCCTCGGACGAAAACTAGTAAAACTGTCAAAAAATAAAAATTCTCTCAGAGCGAGAGAGTAACATTGGAAAGTACGGGATCGCTTTCTAGTAAAAAAAATGGTAACTTCTGTCAACTTCAACATAACCTCCAAATTTTGGTTGTAAATTTTTGGTTATTTTATACGTAAATACACTTAGCTCACACATATAAATAACCAAAAATACTTTCAAATTGATTACAATCCACTTAAACAAGTAATTAAATACTTTTCAACATGCATTAGCAGAATGCACTTTTCTTTTGTTTACAATTTGGTTGCCAACACACACTACAGCTGATCGTTTGACACATTTACCTGAACTTGCCAGCAAAAAATCTTCGGACTAAAACTGGTAACTTCTGACAGAGAGAGGACCTTTTTTACTCTCTTCTTTGTACTCTCAATAGTCAGAGAACCGAGTACGGGATCGATTTCCAGTAAAATCTGACTGATTCTGACTAGTCCGGATTCGTACGGGATCGCAACTAATATTTAGTAACAATATAAAAAAATTCAAAGTAATGGATTCTTACCGGAGCCGGCCACCATACTTGCGCGCCATACGTTGGAATTGAGATAAACGTGGGACAAGCTTTTGTTTCACTCCCAGTTTGAAGATCTTCTTACATCTGTAGGAAGCTAGGTTTCCTTATGAATCCCGACATGCCCTTCTCATGCACCAATTTGTGCAATAATAATTTCAATAAACCTCCAATTTGGATGCATTTGCATGAGAATAATAATCTACCCTTACATTGGACCAAATTGGTACTCAAAATATTAAATTTCTTGATAGTAGATTCAAAGTATTCAGCATTAAGTTTCAAGTAAATACCTTTAAAAGCCTGTTAATTAATTTCCACGTAATTGAATGATCCGTTTTAACTTTTCCATTTGTCTATTTCGTCCTCGCACCACAGCGTGAGTCCACATTATTTGATGTTTGTCGGCATGCTATTTCAAATATTTTGCGGTTGCATAACTGGTCTCGTCACAAATTTTCAACTTCACATTTATTTCCGCTGCCTGACTTCGATCGCTTGTACTGTTATGATGTCTGCCGGTCAGGTTATATGTAAGTTTCTCCATATTCGACAGCTTTCATTTCACATATTAATATGAATTTTTCACGCTCTTCTTCGTCTTACTTTTAGTAATGGACATCACTGCTGGACGCGCTAAAACTATTGTCACTACATTGTCTGAGTTATTCTGGGGTATTGGATTAATTCTTCTACCTGGTATTTCGATATTTTTCGATAGTTGGAGTTACCTCTATGTGGCCATATCTTCATCTGTGGTTATTTTAGTTTTCATGCACAAGTAAGTAAAAAGTATTTACTCGAACGTATTTACATATGTAATATTAAATAAGTTTTCCGAGTATTGTGAAACAAAATTTCTTCTGAAGGTCTGAGAAGCTATAGCGAAAAGCGCCGGAAGTCAAGAACAAAGTTCAACAGCCAGCAGTTGTCGGTTCCGGGGAACTGCTTTAGGTTTGTGAAATTGTTGCATCCCAGCTATTTATACAGACCATAATCTTACAAGAATTGAGAATGGCGGCTTTGTGGGTCCAACGAGATCTGCAGTCCGCCACTTGGTCACGCTCGGCCAGAAAGACTACGCAGCACCATATGCTCTAGTGGAGCTATCTAGACTTAGTCCACCGAATCGCGGTACCTCTCCTGACCAGCTCATGTGCCACGCAGTTCACTATAACTGTGGACTGTTACCCATATAAATGTGACAAAGAAACTCACAAGCGACCGAAAGAAAGGTCAGATATTCCCCAACTAAATTTGAATGCGAGCTAGCCCAAGGCTATGTTTGCCACTTGGCTGTCAGAGTAGATATTTACCTTGCTTGCCGGTGTCCCGCCATCCAGCAAACAATCGACTGCTTCCTTAATTCCAACTGTCACTGCCTAGGAAAACACTACAATGAACAGGAAGTCTACATGTATGGTTGGTAGAGCATTGGGTTGGTCGTAGGCATTGGAAAATTGTACACGCATGGATTACAGTAGACAGGAGGTCGTTGGAAAAGTTATTTGCAGTGAACACCAAGCCTGCTACCAACCCTTGCCCTTAGCCCAACTTGGCTGTGGGTACTGCTCAGGTTAAATTCGTACCAAAGTAGGATAAATGCAGATGTGCCAAATGGGTGTCCAGCATGCGGAGTCACCTCACGACGTGCAACACCTTTTCGCTGGTAATCTAAACTCTACTCAACTAAGGCGCCTCGAATTGGTACACTTCTTGGGCCTCCCGTTAGTTAAGCTTGACGACAAGCCGATCTAGGCAGGGCTAGCCGTACCTTCGATAGAGAGGGATTAGCTAGTCCTAGGTGTCCCACTGATTCCTTTAAGGGAAGAGGGTTTCATAGAGCTAGAAACTGATCTTAGGACGTACGCCCCATCTCTTACCAATTTCCCCCTTCTACCTGCGATGACAATATATTGTGCCCATGAATTGTGTCCCGTGCTCTTAGCTTGAGAAGAAATTTCGCCACTACCCGGTCAGGGATTCTATTTGTATCTAACAAACTTTTTAATAAAATTATTTTATTTGAAACACTTTATTCGCTTACATAGATGGATAGCTGATTCACCGCGCTGGCTACTACGCCACAATAAGTTGGATCGAGCATTGAAACAACTATTGAATTCAGCCGCTTTCAATAACCGCTCAATACCATTAGATCTGGATAGTAAATTAGCTAGCTACGCCAAGCAGCTACAACAAATGGATGCGGATGCGCCACGTTATTGGTCAATTTGGGACAAGAGCACCGAGCGCAAATATATCTATTGCATGCACGGTGTTTGGGTGGGCGCTATAATCTTGCACAATGTTATGCTACTAATGATCAGATCACTGGGCATGGAGTACATACACGTGAATACGGCATGCGTGGGTGAGTTGAAAATGAAGCAGAGTACCGAGTACAAAATTTATGAATTTTCTTCTATTAGGCTTCTCTGAGATACTCGGCATTTTCCTGGGACTCTACTTTATACTCTACACCAGACGTCGTTGGCTTTGGTGCGGCCAGCTGATGATCGTTGCAGGCACTGTCACCTACCTGATCTGGCTCGTGCCGAGCTCATGTAAGTAAAGTAAAAATCTAAAAAAAAAAATAATTCTGCTAACTTATTCTCTCTCTCTTTCGCTCTCACTCCCGCAATCTTTCCCTTTCTACAATTTCAGTGAAATCAAGTCGTCGCGTTGCTATTGAAATGCTCTTTTGGATGTTTCTGAAGTTCGCGAATGCCGTTACATTTGCTGTGCTTGCAACGTGCACCGGTGAAATTGTGTCGCCTGAAAAACGTGCTCTATTGATGTTCTCTGTGCTCATACATAGCCGCTTTTGGCTCATCTTTGGTCCATCTATATCCGTCACCATGCAAATACACAATTTAATTCCCATCACTGTTCTAACTTCGTTGGCATTGGCAACTGGTATCTTACTTTGCTTTCTCGATCGCTCGTTTCGGAATACAGAACAGCCGCGTATAGCGAAGGTGCCGACGCCGAACACATATCGTCGCAACTCTTCGTTGGAGCTACTGCGTCGTGCCTCCACTAGTACCGTTGGCAGTTCGAGTGGCTATACAAATTCGGGATTTTATGAGAATGATCTAACGATAAGCATATCGGATTTGTGGCTAGTAAATACTCAATTCGAGACAATAATGGAGCAGGATGTTTCGGCATCAGAAAGTGAGGCGACAGAATGTGAGCAAAAAGTGGAAGAAAAGCCAAAATGCTGAGAAGTTGGTAGTCTTCGACTTATGTGTATAACTTGCCTATGTACCTACGTGTGTATGTATAGTATAGAATTTCTTTAAATAGTTTATAAGATTATTACTTTTAATAAATTTACGAGTATTATTTTTATGTGATATATCTGTTGCTTTGGTAAAGTAGGCTCATCCGTAAATTGGAGAACCTGGCTAATATTCAAGCATCCTTCCAAAGGAGAAAAGTACAACACACTGGTGAATAACCTGTTAAGCAAGTAGAGCAAAAAGTTCTTCAATCCAGCAATATGAACTAGATCCTGCTGCATTTACAACAAAGGCCTAAGAACCTTCAAAATCTCTGCATAAGCGAAGATCACCGAATGAATGCGAAATAGCAGAGAACTCTGAAATTTGAATCAAAAAGTAAGGCTGTTGGAAATCGAAGCAGTATGGGCATAATTTTAAGTTGTTATACTTAGAAAACCATTAGACTTTATAACTCCTACGCTAGATTTCAAGAAAATCTTTCAGATGAAGTCCCCTTCTGCCGCAATTAGAGTAGATACAGCGTTATCGAGGAGAATTATGCTGGCATTTATGTGACCGATAGATCCAAAATGGGTCATGGTGTGAGTGCGGGGAGTTCTGTGAAATGCTGGATATCCTTCGCTTGAGTAACTAACTTTGGTAGCATATTCCAAGCGGAAATGCTAAAGATTGAGAGGGAGTACAGAAAGCAATGATTTTTTCTCAGATAGCACTGTGCGACAATTTTGGGACAATTCAAACCAGTCCGGACTTTGCTAATGTTTTCTCAAAGTATACATACATGCGATGTATTTGCAGATTTTATTTTATGGCCTGCTAAATTTTTCATGTCCTGGTCTAAGTAGTAGTCAAAAAAGGGGAAAACATGGTTAAAATAAATGTCTGAGCAAAATTAAAGGCTAAACCATATACAGTAAAATTTCACTTGAAATATTTTCGTAGAATATTTTAAGCCATTAGCTCTCGCCTGAAAGGGTCCTTTTGACACTCACTTAAAGAAACCCCGCAAAAAGCAAATTTCTAAGTTCGTTAGAGGATTGATATATTTTAGAAGGCATAAATTTCATGCCCACAACGTTAAAGCCTCTAAAAATTGAAATAAAAAATCAGCAAACAAAAATTGGCTTATCTCTACAACAGATTTTTTAAAATTGAGTTTTGCTGTTATTCCTTCTTGGCATAGATTTTTTATTTAACTTTTATAGAGACTATTGCGTTGGTGGCATAAATTTTTTTTTAATTAAAATTTTCGGAAGAATAATTTTCTAGAATATATCAATTCTCTTCCGAACTTAGAAATTTGCTTCTTGCGGGGTTTCTTGAAAAGAGGGTCATATTAAGGCGGGAGGTAATGGCTTCACTTCACGGGAAATTGAGTTATCGCAAGAGGCGAAGTCTCCAGGGATAACACTGAATAAAGGCTCAACTAGAAGTTATATTATTAACAACAAGCCTGTCGGATACATTATGGTGAAACATGGGTGATATCCCGCAAACTGACGTTTTGGGCATTGGGTATCTTCATAGATATTACCACCTCTAGCTATTCTAATTGACAATGGAGCATTTTGTGCTTCGGCAACTTAGTGAGCATAAGAAAACGAGACCTTCAAGGGAGCTTAATGATTTAAAATCATTCATTAAGGAACCCTTCCAACTCACGGACAAAATTATCCTACAGCAAGCCCTAAAATGTAATAATTTCTGAAAGGAATATTTGCAGAGTCTGGTATATGATGGATGCATGCTCGAGGATGGCAATACTGAGCCCGGTGTCTTACAGCATTAAAAGCCGTGGGCTCTTTCCAAACTACATCTACGCTTATGGATAACTGCAAAACTTTACTGAAACAGTTAAGAAGGCATAACAGGGTCACCATTTGGTGGTTAGCGGGTCATTAGGGTTTTAAAGTCAACGAAAGAGCTAACGCTTTCGAAAAAATTGGGTATCAACGGAGCCCATGTGTTTAATTGCCTTTCTGTAGTCCATCAAATATATACACAGCAGAGCTACTAAGGGAAACAGGCAATCTCTCGGAGGAGTCTCGGACCTACTTTTGAATTTTAGTGGAGAGCATCTGAGGACAGGCTACCTGACAGAACTACAGGTTCTGTGGCTGAAACAAAAGCATTATGCTGTTGTTTATATATGATAAGTCAAAGAATCTTACACTTCTGGGAACCGTTGTCGTTTCTACCTAAGGTGCTTAATTCTATAAATGGCCTAAGGTTGGAGTGAACTTCTGTGCGGCCAGCACAAATCATAATAATAAAATCTACCCAGTTGAATAATAAAAAACAAAAAGTATTTGGTCGATATTAAAGAGAATTTAATGTTCTAGCATTACAAAATATTTGGTTCACAAAACACTCGGTAAATTTTTTTGAACTTTGGTACACAAAAAAAAATAAATAAGTGGCAACCGTGCTCATGAGCTTCGATTTGGTTTCTGCGGACCTAGGTATTCTGTGGTGGTAGTTGGCCATCTCGTCCAATCTGTAGCTTCTCTCAGCATCACTTTGCGAATTCCTGGTACCTACATACATAATTCCTGCTTCCTTCACCTGGAATGCTGTCACGAACGAGATGCATTTACGTACTTTTGGCATAACTATTATTGACCATTGTTTCACTTTTATTTTAATAAAAAAGACAGTCGCACGCTTCCGACTCTTTCGTTTTGGCAGCTATGGCCGTTATTTGGTTTACCTTCATTTTCCCTTCTTTCTTTTACAATTTTTGGCGCATTCCCACCAGAGAACGTTTCTACTTTATAACGAATCTAAAAATTTTCTGATTTCATTAACATTCTCTGCTAGCATAGCACCAACGCCTAAAAGTAGCCTTGAGACCTTTTCCATTTTGAACTGCTAGTGTAAAGTGTAGTGCTGAATGCGTTTACTCGCCAGAGGACGCTGATAGCTGTAAGCGCGGGTAGTAAAAAATTTCACGCTAGATGGCGCCATCAGCTTTAAGTCGCTGGACAGTGATATATTTTTATGAGTGCAACACAAAAAAATGTAAAAAATCGTTGTTGTAAGCTACCTCAGACAGAGAACTTATAGAATATCCTCTAATGCTGGATTTCTACTAGGCATTAAATTACAGATGACAAAGTCGGGCATTAAAAAATAATCGTGTCATTACATTAAAAAAAATGTCATTAAGTTCATTTCCACATGGCATTTTTTAAATGGGATACATTTTTTGTCATTTCAATGCCTGGTGGAAATTCGGCATAAGTTCTCTGTCAGTGTTTAACCAATTGGTGCTAGTGTAGTATTTTGGTCCCTATAGTATGTTTTCTTGGGGCGACTTTTAGTTGAAAGAAACAACCGGCTGTTGTAAAACAAGAGATCGTTTTAATGCACATCGTTAAATTGCAGTTTGAAAAAAAATGAAGATGAAAATGTGATTTTGTTTCAATTAAAAATATTTTTGTTATACGTAATGCGAATTTTAAAAGCTCTTAAAAAAGTTAAACTTTTTAGTTTTTACGTATAGCAATCAGAAGCTCCAATAAAATGAAAAATAAACTAAAGAGCTTCCCGGTTCTATTCATTCAAATTTTTATATGTATACATACATGTAAATGACAATTTTTGAGAGCCAAACTGACGAGTTCTCACTTCAATGACCTGGCAACACTGGTGCCATCTCAGTTAACCTTTATGTCAACAGCAACATACTCGGGTATATCTTGGAAACTAAACATCAAATTGACCTGAAATTTTATGATATCTTCAACATAAGTATTTTACGTTATATTCCCAAGTCTGAGTGGGATTCGGCCACCTGGGCCAGAGAGAGAGAAAGAATATTATGGTTATTCGTTCATTCGTTATTCTACTATTTCAGGTCTCGCCAGGTGCTCACTAAGTTGATGAAGGCACATCCTACCTCGGATTTTAGAGGCCTTCAGGTACGTAGTAATTACAGCCACATCCATAATATTATAAAAAATTCCTAAGGCTGCTTGGTTGAATATTCGGCAAGGCATCTATCTATGTTATCAACGCCATATTTGCTTTGGTTGTAATCTAATATCAATAGTGGTTTCTTCTTAAGACCTTTAACTTCGATTGTCCAATGCATTCTTGAAAAGACCACAACTAATTTATTTTTCTACGGCACGTACTGGTCCATATTTTTGCAGACCTGAGTATGTCGTGGGTTCGGAATCTGCCAGTTTGTGGTGTTGGAGCAACTCAAATTGTTCCTTCTTTGGCAATATAGTTTTCCCGGTATATCGTCAAGTTCTTCATGATCTTACGGGTCGTATTCGGATAACTGGATTTCTTCTATATCAGAGTCAACTGGCTCGTCGTCACTATTTTCCTCTCCTAAATCTTCTAACCTCTGTCAAATGTATCCTTGCTGTTCCTCAGGCTCGAGTGGACAAAGTTTTCGTGGAGTGAGAAATTTTTACTTTTACAAATTTTATTTCGTTGCGTAACACTTCTCCAAGTTCGCACTACATGGATTCAAGTGAAGTACTTTTTTGCCTACAAATTGCTCAGGTTGGTTCAAGTTTTGAACTACCTGATGTAACAGAAAACATGACAAGAATTATTTGCGTCTACCTGTTAAAGCCCTGTTCCAATAATCATATAAGTTTTGTATCCAAACAATCCTCTATGCATACATTCAAAACCAACGATCATAGAGTGTGTTCTAAAAAACTCATTATTTATACAGTAAAATAACATATTTCTCAAATATTTCTTCACATATTTTATATAAACACATTTCTTCAGAAAATAACAATAAAAACTTAGTCATATTAAAATAAATGTGTTAAATATTCACATTTTCGTCACAACAGAATACCGTTTCCCATACAAAATGTATTTGCTTACCCGGGTATGCGCTTTTGACGTACGAATAATTTTTCTGCTGTTGACATAAAGTTTAAGTGTTGTATAAGCTTGTGTGCAGTTCGTGTTTTGTTCAGCACCATTGTATTGCTGAAATGTTC